TGAAGGTCACCAGATGAATGTGGGTGTGGGATATGAGGCCTTGAGCTGCCCTGGGTGCTGCTGGTAGGAGCTGCAACCCCACCACAGGCCTGCACCGGGGGTCTGGGTGTGGGGTTTTGCGGCCTGTGGTGGTCCCCGGTGTCCAGGTGCTGCGGTTTAACCAGGTTCAAGCAGGACAGCAGGGCCTTCTGGTGGCCCTGTGGAGCTTGAGGGAAGCGTGGGGGCACTTTCCTCCTTGGAAATATGTGTCTGGCTTGGGGCTGTGTGGGGAAGGCCTCTTGTAGGGCCCAGGTCTGCCTTTTGGATAGCCACGTGTGCTGTGGGGGGAAGGGGAAGGGCAGTGTCAGGTTGTGCCTCAGGAGAGGTGTGTGAGGGGTGTGAGGCCCTGGTTTGTGTCTGGGGCCTTTGGAAGGGGTGTGTGTGCCTGGTGGGGCCTGCTGAGGCTGTCCTCCTGCCTCTCTTTGCCTTGTGCTATTGGGGTTGAGAGAAACCTGGGAGAAACCATCCCAGAAATGCCCATGAGGCAGCTTTGGGTGGCTTTGTGCAGTGTGCGGCCTCTCGGTGGTGACATGGGCCGGGTACGGGGAGCTGTGCCCTGAGAAATGCCACCTCAATTCCTTGCTGCTCCTCCTCCTGCGTGCTCAGGGTCAGACTGCTCGGTGAGACCCTCCAGGAGTGGACGGGGGGGGGGATAGGGGAGAGATCCCTGATGCAGGTCATTGTGCTCGAGGTTGGAGGGGGAGCTTCGGCCCTGATTTCATCAGGGCTTGGCTGCAGCTGGGGGTAAGGCCTGAAGCGATTGCGCTGCGGGGAGGGGACGGACCCGGCCCAGAGCTCTGTGAGAGGAGCAGGAAGGAGTTAAGGCAGCCCTGCCGCAGATGATGGCATATGTAGCGCAGCTCCCAGCTCGGTAACACCACCAGCCTTTTCTTATTGTTGCAAGGCTTTTCCCAGGCAGACGAACCTAAAAATACACCGAGCGTATTGTGAGACCGGCTCTCCTGTGGCCTGCGGGCTTTTCTCTCCTCCGTAGCATCTCCCCTCGCTCCCTTTCGCTAATTACTGGCAGCGCGAGCGGGTGGAGACGGAGCCGCTTCCCTCGGTCCGAAAGCAGCAAGCGGCTTGGATCGAGCACAGAAAAACCCATCAGATCCCATTCCTCCTGCCCTCCCGGGGGTGATGCAGGAGGGTTTCCCCCCCCCCGTCGGGTTTCTCTCCCAGCCCCTGTTTCACAGCGCTCCTGCAGAGCCGCTTCTCCCCGAGGAGGAGGGCTGAGGGCTGCAGGATGCTGTTCCCAGCACGAGCTGCGATGGGGGCTGCAGGGGGTGCTCAGCACCAGCCCTGCTGCTGCGAGGGATGCTCTTGGACCAGCTCAGGACCACGGCCCCGTTAATTTCTGCAGGGGCTGCTGTTTCATAGTTGGCACCAGGCAGCAGGCTGGCCTGGCTCCCTGAGCGAGCAGAGCTGGTCCTCATGCTTTATCCAGCCCTTGCCTTTCAAGATGTGTTTAACCCACGGCTCCTTTGGGGTGTGTGTGTGTGAGCTCGGGGCTGCAGGCAGCGCAGCCGGGTCCTGTGTGAGCAGCACCTAAAGCCACACCGGCCTCCTGGCCGCTGCCGAGGCGAGGCTGTTACCAAATTTCCTTTCCGGCGTGGGATGAAAGGGGCCGGGGTGGATTTAGCGGGTGCGCAGTTGCTTTGTCAGCTTTGTTTCTGACGGCAGGTTTCCTGCTACGTGCGTGTGAGAGAGGAGAAACCCCACGTGCGTGCGCGAGCTGCTGGCTGCTCGGGGTTTCCATGATTTGGGACCGCTGTGGCTGTGTTTGGAGGGTGGGTCTTGCTTCCCACTGCGATCCCTGAGCCGCTTCTGGGACAAGATGCTGTTGGGAACATAGAAAAGAAGAAGGCAAGCTCACCTCTCCTGTAGTTTCTCTTTTATTTTATTTTAACCACCGCTGATTGCTTTAAGCAGGTCTTACTGTACAAAACCCCTGCTGGTGTCAGGGCACTAGGACGAGAAGTTGCTGCGAATGTATATTTAGGAGCAAGAAGTCTCCGAGGAGCTCTGCAGACTGTCATCTGTCTGCTCGCAGCTCGCCCCAGCTCTCCCTGGCTTTGCTCTCCTTCCAGCTCCCGAGGAACCGTTCCCTAAATTAATTTGGGAATCTCCTGTTGGGCTTTCTAGCCCTGATTTGTCACAGCAGCCTGACCTCTGGCGCATGTACCCGTTCCCGAAAATAGAAGCAATGAATAATGAGACATGTGCTGAGAAAACGACTTCCCCGTCCCGCTTGCCCCTCCCTGCGGAGCAGCGCAGGGTTTTGGGGTTCCCACGCCACCTCCACCGCCTGTCCCCGCTCCTCTTCCTCCCGGCGGCGTGCTGCTGGTGTCTGTCGGGTTTTGGTTAGATGGAAATCTCCTTGTGACAGAGCCCGGGGTGCTGTTCCTCTCCTGGTGTCAGCGCAGATGAAGCAGCGGTCGTGCTGGGGTGTGTGTTTGGTTTGGGGTACCCGTGCTTGGAGGAGAAGGGAAAGCCATGGGCACAAAAAGAAATTTCGGGACAAAGGGCGGCGCAGTGTGGGGACACCCACGTCAAGCACCCAGGAAGCCGGCACCGCTGTTACTCCTCCTACCCCATCCGCTCCGCGAGGAGAGCTGCAGGGCCCCATGACGAGCACAAACCCCATGCTGTTGGCGCAGGGCATGGCACAAGGTGCTGTGCCTGGCTGCTGGGCGCTGCCAGCGGTGCGAGGGAGGCCCCGGCCGTGCCCGTGGGCAGGAACCTTCCCCTGGCACCCCGCAGCCCCAGAGGAAACCGAGCTGCTCGCCGCCTCCTGCCCCAAGCAGCAGCTCTGTGTCGGCGGCGTGGCCGCATCCTGCGCCCCGCGGTGCGGTTAGGGGCTGGCGGGCGCCGCTCTGCTGGGCTTGTGGTTGTGGCCTTGCTGATAAGGTTCCTAAAACGAAGGTGCTGGGCAGTGGGGCTGCCTCCTGTCACCTCTTCCCCAGGAGGGACAGCTCTGTCCCGGCACGCCGTGCCCTGGGGTGTGGGCGCGCGCTCCCTGCCGGGAGCCTCTTGCCCTGACACAGCACCGAAGGGCTGTGAGCTTTGGACCACGTGAGTCACTCCCAGGGCCGGTGGCTCCACGTTCCCGTTCACTCCACACCCGCAGAGCTGGCTTAGCCTCCGAGGTGCTCACCCAGCGTTGCCCAAACCTCCCTCGAGGCTATAGCGTCGGAGGCTGCTGCGTGGGGAGGAAGGAGGCGCTGGGAGCGCTGCAGGAACGGGGAGCTTTTGGAGCTGGAGAGCTTTCGGAGCTGGAACGGAGCGCTTTGGGTGCTGGGCACGTCCACAAAGGGGATTTGGAAGCGGTGCAGGGACCTGCCCGGGGGCACGGAGGAGCCAGCAGAGCGGTTGCTGCCAGCCCCTGCTGCTATCGCATGCGCTGCCGCTGGCACGGTGCCGGCTGCCCTCTGATGACACAGGTCCTGGCACCGCGGCCACGGTTCCTACCTGTGCCACTCCCTGCCGGGCATCCTGCTGTCGTGCTGGGCCCCGAGCGGGTTCTTCCCTGCACGAGCTGAGTCAGAGATGGGCGATAAGGAGGGGGAGGCTTTCCTCCGCCCGCTTTTGGAGCGTCTTATCTGCCAGGCTGGGCTGGGAAACAAAGGGCTGAGCTCACTTCCCGGCCGGGGAGCTTCGCAGCGAGGTGTCCGGGCTGCTTGCTGGGGGGGAGCTGTGCCCCATCGCCAGATGGAGCAGGGAGCTGAGGCTGCACGGAGCACGTGGGGAGATGCAGAGCTCCCCATGCTCCCCGCAGCTCCTGATGGCAGCCCCGCATTTCGGAGCCCACTCTGCGCTCTGCCTGCTCGCTCCCCCCAGCTCCCCCTGCCCGCAGCCCTCCTGGGTTTTGTCAGGCAGGCAGGTGGCAGGGCTGGCAGGCAGCGTGCCAGGGCTCCCCATGCTCCCAGCTCCTTTAAAAGGCGATTTTGAGATCCTCCTCTGGGCAGGGGCTCAGGCTGTGCCTCCTGCACCCTGTCCGGGCGATGGGGGAGCCCCGTGCTGGGAGGACGCAGCCCGCCTGGGCTCGAGTCCCAGCTCCCCTCCGCAGGCTCGGTCACACGCTGCTTGAGTAGTAAATTGGTGCCATTTGTGTCTGTCTTCATTCACAAAAGCCGTGCTTTTTCCTCTGCCTCTCCCCACCCCATTTGCCTTGCCTCTATAACAGCAGTGTCCTCTCGGCGCGCGGCGTGCCAGCAGCCAGTTCCACTGGGGGCGAGGCTGGGAGGGGGCTGGATATTTCGGAGATATTTCGGAGATATTTCTCGCTCGGCCAGGCACCAAGGACACCCCCGGCCTGACAATGGGGCCGTTTTCCCTTTGTGCTCACGAGCTGGGAGCAAACCCTGATTTTTTTTTCACGTGCCGCGGTGGAGCGGTGCAGGGCTGCGCGCCGCCACGCTCGTGGCTCGTTAGCGGCCGGTCCCTGATGGATGCTGGGGGGGATTTAGGAGCAGGTTGGGGCCAGCTACGCCCCGCTGGGCCATTTGTATGCGGGAGGTGTGCCGGAGCGCATCGCGAGGCCGCTGCCTGCCGGGGATGTGTCCGCCCTGCTCTGCTCTGCTGTGCCGCAGGCGTGCGGCCACCGCGCCTCCCGAGGGGGCTCGGCGAAGGGAGGCAGGGGCTGGCCCCTCTCCAGGGGCTTTGGGGCTCCCCGGATGGCAAGGCTTGTGCTTGGGGCCGGGATGGGGAGAATGAAGCACGTGGCTGCTCACGGGATAGGATTTGTGGTGTGGAGCAGCGTGGGGAGGTTTCGGCATCCTGAGGGTCCTGGCACTTGGGGTCCTTGCTGGTTTTCCTTTGGGATGGGAGGTGGGGGGGTGGTTTATGTTATCCTGCTAGGAGGATGTGAAGCAGCAAAGCCTTGCGGGGTGGGGTGGAGCAGGCTCGGTACCACTGCAGGGAAGCCTCCTAACCCCAACTCTTCTCCTTTTCCCCTCTAGGGCTGAGCAGAGCGGCGGTGCCCGTGATGCCCTGAACGCCGAGCGCGGAGGAAGCAGAGGAGACTGTGTCCCGTTAGCTCCTCTTCCTTCCCTCACCCCCTTTGTTTGGGTTTGTTTCTATTTATTTTGCGGCCGGGCTTTGGGGGCATGGCCTCAGCCGGCCGTGGTGCCGCCGCCATGCGGCTCCTTTGGCTCAAGCCCCGCTCGCCCCTCCACCTTTGGACCCTGCTGCTTTTGGGGAGCACCTGGCTACCGCTGGCGGAAGGCAGCCCCAAACCTCCCTTTAGGACTTTCCCGGTTTCAGACTGGAGCTTGACGCACCTGGTGGTCCACAACAAGACCGGGGAGGTGTACGTGGGGGCCGTCAATCGGATCTACAAGCTCTCCAACAACCTGACGCTCCTGCGGACGCACGTGACGGGGCCGGTGGAGGACAACGAGAAGTGTTACCCCCCGCCCAGCGTCCAGTCGTGCCCGCACGGCCTGGTCAGCACCAACAACGTGAACAAGCTGCTGCTGGTGGACTACTCGGGGAACCGGCTCATCGCCTGCGGCAGCGCCTCGCAGGGGATCTGCCAGTTCCTGCGGCTCGACGACCTCTTCAAGCTGGGTGAGCCCCACCACCGCAAGGAGCACTACCTCTCCAGCGTCAACGAGTCCGGGACCATGTCCGGGGTCATCATCGAGGTGCTGAACGGGCAGAACAAGCTCTTCATCGGGACGCCCATCGACGGCAAGTCGGAGTACTTCCCCACGCTGTCCAGCCGCAAGCTGATGGCCAACGAGGAGAACGCGGAGATGTTCGGCTTCGTCTACCAGGACGAGTTCGTCTCGTCCCAGCTGAAGATCCCCTCGGACACGCTCTCCAAATTCCCCACCTTCGACATCTACTACATCTACAGCTTCAGCAGCGAGCAGTTCGTGTACTACCTGACCCTGCAGCTGGACACCCAGCTCACCTCGCCCGACTCCACCGGGGAGCAGTTCTTCACCTCCAAAATCGTCCGCCTCTGCGTGGACGACCCCAAGTTCTACTCCTACGTGGAGTTCCCCATCGGCTGCGTGCAGGACGGCATCGAGTACCGCCTGATCCAGGACGCGTACCTCACCAAGCCTGGCAAGGCTCTGGCCAAGTACCTGGGCATCTCGGAGCAGGAGGATATCCTCTTCACCATCTTCTCCCAGGGCCAGAAAAACAGGGTGAAGCCTCCCAAGGAGTCTGTGCTCTGCCTCTTCACGTTGAAGAAGATCAAGGATAAGATCAAGGAGCGCATCCAGTCGTGCTACAGAGGGGAAGGGAAGCTCTCGCTGCCCTGGCTCTTGAACAAGGAGCTGGGCTGCATCAACTCGGTGAGTTGGCGCTCGGTTTTTGGCTGCTGGCCGTGCCCTGGGCCCCGTCCCGGTTACCTGCCCTGCCTCGTGCCCCCCCCCGGGGGGAGGATCCGTGCTCGCTCGGGGGCCCTGGCACGGCTGGGGCCGAGCGCTCGGCTTGCTGGGTCGCATTCCTCGTGGAGACTGCGGCTTTGGTGTGGGAAGGCTGTGTCTGGGCTGGGGCTGAATCAGTGTCTGCCGAGAGCGGCTGGCCCCGAGCTGAGGCCGTGTGCTGGCACGGGGTGCTGGTGCCCCTGTGGGGTGCAGGGGTAAAAGGGGAGCTGGTTTGGAGGGGCAGGACCTCGTTTCTCGGAGGGACAGAGGTTTGTCTGCTGCGTCTGTGCTGGGGGGACCTTTGTAGGTGGCACATGTGAACCGGGGGGGCTGGCAGAGCTGCGGGGGCAGGAGGTGTGGGGAAGGGGGCGGGCAGGTCGGTGCTCCCAGCAGGTCCCGTGGCGCGCAGGTAGGAGGAGAGGGGATCCAGGAGCACCTGGCTCCTTTTTCTTCCTGCTCCTGCAGTGCCAGCACCTGGCTGTGCTTGTTCCAGGCTGCGGGGCAGAGCCAGCAGCCAGCTCCCTGCCCTCTTGGGGTCCCTTTGGGGGCTTTGGTTCCCTCCTGCTCACCACCTCCCCGCTCCCTGGGTGTGCTCGGGGGGCACGTCACCAAACAGCAAGCAGGGTGCAGGTGCTGGATTGATTTTCTCCAGGCAATTGGAGGCAGGAGGGGAGGGCACGGGCACGGAGCCCACCGTGTCCTGGGTTTTGGGGTCAGCCCTGCTGCCGGGGGTGCCCGCGGAGCAGCCCAGCCTTCCTTCCCCGCCGCGCCGGAGGAGCCAGCTAACAGCTGCCTGACAAAGTAAAGGGTTTGCTGTCAAGAGCGCTGGGCTCGCAAATCAGATTTTGGCTTTGAACTAATTCAATTTTGGTGGAAAATGATGAAATCGTTACACTGCTGCCTGGTGGGTCGCGCAGCTGCTGGCTCAGGCGCAGGAGATGCCGGCTGCTTCCTCCCCGTGCACTCCCAGCTCCTCTCCCCCTGCGTTTGGGGAGGGGGCTCTGCCCAGTATTTCCCCCCATGCCCCATTCGAGGCTGGGCAGGCTGTGTCCCCCTGGGTTTTATTTTCTGCTCTATTTTCCCTGCTGGGGGGAACGAGGCTGGTTGTGGCACCGCTGGGTGCTCAGCGGCTTCTCCGCGCGCCTCAGCTGCAAAAGGTGGGTTTTTGCAGGGAAACCAAGAAAAAAAGTTCTTGCATCCCACCGGGGGAAGGTGCTGGGATGGGGAGGGCAGTGCTGGCTCAGCAGCTGCTGCTGTGCCATGGGGACAGCGAGGGCTTGGCCGCGGTGCTGTGGTTACACGTGCGGTGACCTTGGGTTTTCCAACCTCACACCGTGGTTGCTCAGCTGGAGGGAACGTCCTGGCCATGGAGAATTTGGGATCTAGCTGGGACGTTCCCTGTTTGGGGGCATCGTTCCCTCCTTGTTACCATTCCTCGTGAGTGCTGGAGCCCTTGGGGTGGGAAAAATGTGCAGGGTGCTGGCAGCTGCCTCCTGGGGGCTCAGAGCCCCTGAGGAAGAGCAGAGCAGGGCTGTGGGGCAGCTGAAGGATCTCAGGGTGATGGATGCTGGCCAGAAAACCAAGGGCATGGTGGGCTCCGTAAGGAGGCAGGACGGAATTGCTAGGTCAGGGCTTGCTTGGGATTTACGCCTGGTCTGTGTGGAAGACGTCCCGGGAGCTCTCCTCCTGCTCCTGCTCAGGATTTATGGCTTGAAGGCTCCCGGGAAGTGGAAGCCCGGCCCTTGGTGCTTCAGCACGGCCGTGGGAGTGCTCTGAGGGATGAGCTGTGCCAGCACGACGTGGGCATCGCCCTCCGGAGCTCGGCTGGGAGGCTGAAACGAAATTTGGGGCGAGGAGCCCTGCTGCTGCCTGCTGCTTCCCCCGGCCCCGGAGCTTTGGGGTGCTCGTCCCCGGGTGCTTCCCCAGCAGGTGGGTGAAGGGTGTGGGAGGCCAGGGGTGCGTGTGCTGCCATTAACTGCCCAATTACCAGCCAATTAATAACACTGAGCGGCACGAGCTCGCCTCTGCTCCCTCATTGCCTCCCTAAGTGGGCCTGAAGAGAGGCAACGAGACAAGGCGGGTCGTGGAAACAGACGGCTCCTGGCTGGCTCTGTCTGCGCCCTGTCCTGCCTCTTTTGGGTGGGTTTCTGGGGAAAATGGGAGCTTTGTGCCCCGGCCCTGTGCTGGAGGAGGGGAGGAGGCTGCCTCGTGGGGTCCTGGGGGTGGCCGCAGTGGTGCCGGGGGTGCCCCAGCCCTCGCAGTGCCCGCTCGGCCCGATCTCGCCGCGGCGGTGCCTGCCTGCACTTCCCTAACGAGGCAGCTTGCTGTTAATGAGCTAATTGTCGGCGTAATTATTTATCGAGGTGGTGGCGGCATCTCGGTGGCGGGCGGGTGCTCCTTGCGGCCCTGGAGTGCAGCTGTATTTGTCGTTTCCCAGAGAGTTTGTTGAGACAAAGCAGAGAGGAGTAAACACCATCAACATTTATCCTCTTGCATATTCAGCAGCTGATGAGGTTGGGGAAGCTGCAAATTGGAGTGCGGAGGGAACGGGAATTGCCTGGGCTGCCAGGGGCTGCCGGGGCTCAAATCCCTTCGTCGGGGCTCAAATCCCTTCTTCGGTTGTGCTCGGGGTCGTGTTGGCCCTTCTGCTGCTGCTCGCCGGGCTCCGGCTTGCTCGAGGCTGTCGGGACTGAGGGGTGCCTTCCTCGTGTCTCATCTGAGGAGGGGGTTTTTGGGTGTCTGTGCCATGGGGATATGGCCGTCCAGGCCCTCCTGGGGTGCAGCCGGGAGGTTTGTGGCCGGTGCAAGGCGGGAGGAGGAGGCACGAGGTCTGACAGAGGTCCTCAAAGTCCGCCCAGCGTTGCTGGGAAGAGACCTTGCTCGGAGCCGCTCTTCTGCAGCCTGCACCTGGCACTGCAGGAGGGTCCCCAGTGAGGCCGACGGGCTGGAGAGCTGCAGATTCCCCTTCCCACATCCTTCTGGACAGAGAAGAGCACAGTGCCCCTCATTCTTGATTTTGGGAATCTCCCCTGCCTGGCTGCACCCAAATGTTGCCCAGTTTGGGGAAGGCTAAGCAGGGGCCTGAGCGCGGAAGGCAGTCGGTCTGCGCTCACATCCCAGCTCAGGCACCCCACAAAAACAGAAGTTAAAGAACTGAGCCAGCAAAACCCCATTTCCACACCACTTTGGGGGCTGAGCGTGGCCGGCTGGAGCCGTTCCCGTGGCTCAGCTGCAGAAGGGCTGGCACGGCGCTGGTGGCACCGCAGCCGGGAGCGGCACCGCTGGCTTTGGGTCGGTGGAGCGAGCACGGGGGGTGACGGCGTGGCCACGTCCTCGTTCAACAGCCCCGTGGCTTTTCCCTGAGGGTTTTGGATGCCCAGGGTTGTGCTGGCCTCTGTTTTTGGGGCTGTTGTTGTCCCTGTTTGGGGTGGAAATGGCAGGGATGTTGTTTGCAGCCAGGAGCTGCTGGGTGCGGGTGCACAGAGCACGGCGTTCCCCATGTTATGTGCACAGGGATCTCAACCCCTTGGGGACTGGCACGCATTTGGAGGTGGTGGCTTGCCAAAAACCTCTCCCCTTTGAATTCCGAGTTACAGAAGGAACCTCATGGAGCAGAAAACCCCCTGGCCTGAGCAGGCTGCCTCTCCGGGCCTCCTCCCCAAACCACATCCCGGAGCGAGGTGTCTCGCTGCCAGCTGGAGATGGGAACTCCTCACCTCCTCGGCTCCATCCTCCCGTGGGGTGGGAGGTCGGCGTGATCCCTCCTTGTCCCTGGCTCTCACCAGAGCTCACCTCTCCCCTTTTCCTTCCCGCAGCCCCTGCAGATCGACGACAATTTCTGCGGGCAGGATTTTAACCAGCCGCTGGGCGGGACCGTCACCATCGAGGGGACGCCGCTGTTCGTGGACAAGGAGGACGGGATGACCTCGGTGGCCGCCTACGACTACAGGGGCCAGACCGTCGTCTTCGCGGGCACGCGGAGTGGGAAGATCAAAAAGGTAGGGATGGAGCTGGCGGGGATGGTGCCGTGCTGCTGGGGGGGTTTTCTGCGCCTCCCCCGGCGGGATTTGGTGTGGTGTGGGGAGCCTGCGTCCCCGTTGTCGTTCTGTGCCAAAGAAATGCACAAAACCTCCGTGTCGGAGGGGTGTAACACAAAGGGATTGAGTGTTTGGCTGCTGGTGGGTCGGAGTCCACCCCGTTGTCTCCCAGGGTTGCTGGTTGGCCCCGTAGCTGTGATGGGGCCGGCTCTGCCTCCCCGTGTCCGTGTTGCTTGGTTGTTGACCTGGAAAGGGCCCGGGAGGTGGGTGCTGGTGGCTTGGGGCTGGTGCTGCTGTTGGGGGAAGCTCCAGCTGGGGTGGCAGCGCTGCATTGTGTGGAGTGGGCAGGACGGAGCCTCGCTGCTCCCCTTGGCTCTTTTTGGGATCGGAGTTCCTGCATTCATTCCCTGCAGATCCTGGATCTGGCTGAAATGGGAAAGGTAGGGCCTGAAGCTGGCGTTTGTGCCAGGCGGTGCTGTCCTCCGAGGGGACAATGAGCTGTGTGCCTGCTGCCCTGGTGGGGATTTGGGATTTGTGGCCCGTTTGGGGCTCGCCTCACACCTCCTATTCCTTTGGGTGGGCACTGAGGTGCCGTGGCACGCAGGGCCCCATCCCGTATTTATCTCGAGGAGAGCATGGCAGCTGCCTTTTACATGGAAGATTTGTTGCTTTCCCCTTCTCTCATTTTTTTTTCCTAGCTTTTCTCAGTTTTTCCCTGGTTTTGGCACCGTCAGAGCCACTCGCAGGTTGCTGAGGGCGCAGGCTGAGCTCTGGGTGCCCTGCGGAGCAAGGCTGGGGGTGCTGGAGACCCCAATTTTAGGGGAACCATCCCCTGCTGTGCCTTTGGGGGGTGCTCAGCCCTAATATCCTGCCCCCAGGGCTGCCCGGCGCACCGTCTGGGTCGGGGTGAGGTCAGGGCAGGGTCCCGGCTGCGTCTGGATTTGCCTTGGATGGCAGCTCCCGTGCCCAGCACTTGGCCAGGCTGCTGCGTGTGCACAGAGCCTGCCTTTGTCCCCCGAAAAAGCCCCGCGGCCCTGCTGCCAGCAGGAGCGGCTGGGAGGCTGCCGGGCAGCACCTGCTGTGCCCCACAGCTGTCCCCTGTCCCCCCCTGTCCCCCTCTGTCCCCCACTGGAGGGGTCGTGGTGCTGGGGACCGACACAGGTGGCATTTGGGGAGGGGACACGGTTATTCCAGGGGGAAAAATGGTATCAGGAGTGAAGGCAGGCGGGTCTCCTCGGCTGGCCTGCCCTGCTGCCGGCAGTCACGGGGCTGTGGGATGGGATTTTGGGGATTTCTGCCCCGCCACAGGGTGAGTAAGGTGGGGGTGACTCTCGCCGTGCTGCCAGCCCCGGGTGTGAGCCACGTCCGCGTGCTGCCTGCGGGCACCTCCGGGACCTCTCCTTCAGCCCCGGGGATGGGGAAGTGACACGGGGCTGTGGGCACGCTGCCTGTGGGGACTGCCAGGGGGAAAATCTGTGCTCCCTGTGCCCGGCTGACACCGGGGAGGTCCCTTGGGTAATGGGGTTTTGAGCAGCCTCGCAGGGAGGTGGCTCGGGAAGGGTCTCGGTGGCTTGGGAGGATCAGGATGTGCCTGCAGCCCCTGCGTGCCCCTCGCAGCCAGCTGGATCCTCACTTTCAGAGGCTGTCCCCGCAGCTCTGGCTGTCCCCGTGCCCCCGTAATCCCTTCAGCTCCGTCCCCAAAGCAGATGGCCTTGGGTGCGAGTGCCTCGGGGCGCGGCCCGGCCGGGAATCCGCTCCCCCTCTGCAGCTTGTGCTCTCCCTGGGCTTGTTTATCCTCTCCCACGGAAGGCCCAGCTCAGCCGGCCCCTTGTTTGGTTTCCTTGGCTCCTCCGCTCGGAGGATGATGATAATAATAAAAAAAAACTAAAACAAACTCTGCGTGCTAAGTGGGCCGGCCCTGGCCGGGCGCAAACACCGGGACCTCGCCGCTCCTCCTGGGGAGCATCGCGTGCAGAGGGAAGGCGAATTCCCAGCTCCTGTGTGACCCTAAAAGCGGGGCTGTGGGGCTGGTGCTGAGCTCCGTGCAGGGCTGTGTGCAGCAGGAGGAGGCCACGGCTGGCCGGGGTTTTGCAGGAATTTCCCCGTTCCCTGCTGGCCCCAGGGCTGGGAGCTCGCCGGGACCTCGTTGTCTCGCCTCCTCGCTGCCCGGGGCAGCACCGGTGCTTTCTGTGCTGCTTCATTTCCTTCCAAGGAACGATTTATTATTTTTTTTTCCCCTCTCTGGGTGTTTTAACAGCCAAATCTCTTCCCCTTGTAAAAAGCCCCCTGCTTTCTTCCTCTCCCCCTTCCCCCAGCTGTGCTGTGAGTCGGGAATTCTCCCCTGCGGGCAGCAGGGAGTGGGGGCTCTGCTGGGCACGTGCTGGGGCTGCACCCCGCTGCGGGCAGGGCTGGGGCAGGGCATTAAGGTGCTTGAGCTCTGCTCTCGGGGCAGGATTGGGTGCAGAGGGAGGTTTTCCTGGCCTCCAGGAGCCCAGCTGGGGGTTGGAGACCTCCCTGCTGGCTTTTTGGGGAGGCTTCACAGCCCTGCACGGGGCTGGCGTCCTCCCGGCGCTCCCCAGCGTGGTTCAGCGGTGTTGCCGTTTGTGCAAGAAAGCAAAACTTGCCCAAACTGGCTTTCCAGCCCACAAATCCACTCCTCAGCCTCTTGGGTACGGGCTGGCATCACCCGGCGGAGGTCGGGGTCCACGTGAGCCTGGGACGGGGAGGCACGAGGCCCCCGGCCCCCCGGCCACGCGGCTCCTTCCACACCGCCTCCGCTTAGCGCTAAGGCAGCTTTAAGCAGCTCTGGCTGAGAAGGGACCCATTGTGTCTGCCCGAAATCCGGCTCCCGGGGCGCAGGGAGGGCTCAGACCCCTCGTGACCCCCCCCTGTCCTCCCCCCTCCTTGCACGGAGCTCACCCCTTGTAGGGCAAGGTGCCCTCACCCCGCTCCCGGGGGCAGCTTTGGTGCTCGTGGCCCAATTTGGGGACGGTGCCATGGGGCCGTGTGTGTGTTCAGCCACCTGGGGCAGATCCTGCAGCATCTCTGCCACAGCCCACCTGCCTCCCCCTGCACCATACCACGGGGCAGCCCTCTATAGGGCACAGGGCATTTTAGGGGTGCTATAGGGCAGGACCTGTAGCCCCCAAGCCCTGCTGGATGGGCGAGCGTGATGGAGCCGGGGAAGGCAGCTGGCGGCACCGCACAAGGGCCTTTTGTTCCTGCTGCCTCGTCCCTCTGTGTCCCTGTCCCATCCCACGGGGACCCTGCTCCCCCTGCCCACCACTTATGGGGCTCCCTCAGGGGATTCAGCCCCGTTCCCTAGCAGGCAGACGGGCGCCCAGGAGCCTGCGCCTGCGTCCTCCCCGGTCAGTGGCTTGGCACAACAAGGTGCCCAGTGGCTGCCACAGTGAATCCATCAAACACCTCTCAGTGCTCCCAGCCCCCTCGAGAGCTCTTCTGAAGTGCTGGCTGCTTTAATTGAGGTGGAGGCAGCCCCAGGTAAGTGGATGGGGTGAGGGGAGAGGGGGCTGCGGAGCCCCCCCCACAGTGTCCCCTGCTCGTGGCGGGCAGCGCGCGGCGTCGCCCCGGCAGGCTCAGGAGGAAGGGGCCCCGCTGGCTTTTTGTCGAGCTCTGAACAGGATGTCTCATTGTTGGAGGAAACAATTAGAAATTCATCGTGAACCCACGGCCTCTGGGACCGGCTTGGGGAGGGGTGGGGGGGCTGCTGCCGGCTCCGTCCTCGGGTGACTCTGGGGAGGGACGCGCTGCGCTCGGGCTCCCCGCCTCGAGCAGGATGGGGCTGAGCCCCCGCGGCTCTCCCAGCCCCTACAGCTCCCAGCCCAGGCTGCCCCAAGCTCTTCACCTCCATAACTCTTTTTTTTTTTCCTCCCCCATCTGCTCCGCAGTCAGCACAAAGCCGGCAGGTGAGGAGCTGGCGGAGAGGAGCCGGGCTGGCTGCCAGGCGGGGACGTGGCCGCCAGGCTCAGCCCTTCCCCGCACGCAGCGCTGACTCGGCGCCTCTCCCGGCTCCCCGCAGCCCTGCCAGTGGGGGCATCGCCCTGGGCACCCTCCCCAAGGTGACTTCGGGAGCCTCCGGGACGTGCCCGTCTCCGGGATGTGCCCATCTCCGGTGTCTTTTGGTGTTTTCTGCATTTCCCTTCGCTCAGGACCCTGCCCGTGGCACAAGGATGTGAGGTTTGGGGATGGAGCTGCGGATGCGCACTGCAAGGAGGGAGCTTTTAGGCTTCATTTAGCTGTGAAGCTTGGAGGGTGCTGAGCACCCCTGGGTGTCCCCATGCCTCTGACCTGGTGCAGTCACAGCCCCTCCATGCACAGAGCTGGGCACGGTGCTCGCTGCGGAGCTGGCGGTTGCAGGGCAGGGTGGAAACCACCCCGCTGAGATGGAAATGAGCTGGGAGGCCCCGGCGCTGTGGAGGCCCTCCTGTCAGAGCCATTGTGCCTATTGACGGGCTGGAAAGCTGGCTAATTTTGGCTTTTCAGGTGGGAGAATAGCCCCGGCCTCCCACCAAAGGCAGCGGAGAAAAGGGAGGGCACAGGGCAGTGCTGGCATCCCGCCTGCCTTCCTGCAGCCCGGGTGAGCGGTGCCTGAGGGGTTTGTCCTGGTCTGGTGGCCCCCGGGTGGCCCTACATTTCTCCTTTCTCCTTCCAAGGTGCTTCTGAGCTGGGCACGGCCCTGAGCTCCCACCCCATGGCCTTGGGGTTGGGACTGGAGAGGTGGAGAGGACCCCACGGAGCAAGGCTGGGTAATCGGAGGGTTTTATTTTTGCTGCTCTTGGTGCTCTCGAGGGCAGCAGCCGTCAGTCACTCCGTGCATGGCACTGGGGGTCCCGAGGAACCTGAATGCAGCAGGGGGCTGGTGCTGGGGCAGCATCTTCCCCATGGTGATCCCCACGAGAGCAGAAAGAGCCCCGGCAGGCTGAAAAACCCGTGTGTTTTTT